ATTTTATTAAACAAGCCGAACAGAGTTTTTTTTTTTTTTTAAGATTTATGAATGAGCCAAACTCAAACCATACTTTTGACTCGGTTATCAAACGAGCATAAGTTCAGAAAAATATAAAGTATTTGGTTCGGCTCTACTCGAATAACACCTTAGGCCTAAGTATAGGCCTCATCAATAAAATATATATATATATATATCTAATAAAACATTTAATAAAAACTTTTTTTAATTTTCCTCCAAAAGGAGTTATATATTTTTTAATTAATTACTCACTAATCTGCTAAAACCGTTACACCTTAATATATATATATATATATATATATATATTATTTATTTGTTGGATCGATTATCGATTACTAAATTAATTCTAAATTTAGTAGCAAAATATTCAAATGTGTAACGGCTAATGTTGGAACTTAAAGTTTATTGGCACATTCAGAGTTGTAACCGCTATATTTGGTTGCGTTGTTGGAAGAAAAATATGATTGACACATATTTTGTTTTCTAAATATCAGGAACACCAATAATTTTATTTATTTATGTTAATTTCTTAATATAAGCAGCAAATATATGAATTATTTTATTCATGTTACTAATGTAAACGTTGCATGGTTAAAATAAAATTTAAATCTCAATTAACTTTGAATGATAAAAATTACTTAAGAAAAAAAAATAATTTTTATATGGTAGAAGTACATGTATAATTAATAAATACAAACAAAAACGTGTTTTATATTTGTGCAAATGCATAGGATCAAAATTTTTTTATTATATATATATATAAAGAGACAACCTATTTACCAAAAATAGTAACAAAAAAAAGTCAACCAACATTTATTGCATTCTATTTTTGGCAGTTTTTATTTTATTTTTTAAGTTATTTCTAAAAACCAATCAGCTGTACATGGATTTTGTGGATTTAATTTAGGTAAATCTGACTGATGCTTACAATTTTGCAAAAGTCAAAATCCTTTCTCATTTTTTATTTAAAAAAATTGATTACCATAAAATCGAGAATTCGAATTAGGCAAAATACTATCATATATATCTTTTACTAATTGCAACATATAAATTGTTTATTAAAAAAATTAGATTGCATAGAAATCGGGTTAAATTATGCAAAATTCGGCATTTTGCAATTTTGTAAAAACAAAAATTCTCTCATTTTTTATTAAAAAAAATATGTTTCAAATAAAATCTGAAATTTCGAATTAGGCAAAATACTATAACATGTATGTTTACCTAATTGCAACAGATCATGTTTATAAAAAAAATTGGATTGCATAAAAATCGGGCTCAATTTCAAATTGAAAATTAAATTTAAAATCCCCTATCATTTGGCTATTACTTTCTTTAGTTCGAATTTTTCTAAACATAAAATAGAGTAAGATAATATTAATTTTCAAAACAAAATTGGATTGGAACATAATACAAATTTGAATTTGAATGCATACGCTTACAAAATAAATAATAATTGCATGCACTTACAAAAATCATATATATCCTGTTAAATAATAATTGATTTATTTAAGCCTATCTCGATTCCTAATATAATTTGTGGTGATAGACAATGCACCAAAAGATCAAACAAATAATGTTGTGTACAAGGATGCGTTTAATAATATAAGTTACATTTTGATTATTTCAATACATGCGTTTTAAGTTCTTCCAATCATCCAAATCTAAATGTTTACCTTAATAAAACTAGCTCGTGCATCGCACTGGTACCGCACTAGTAATATAATAATAAGAGTCCTACTTATACATAATTAGAGTAGTCTTTTGTTTGTCCCTTTTTGTTGCTATTCTCGTTGTTATTTTGTGTGTCGTTTCTCCTGTTTTAGGTCTTTTCCTAGGTATTTTTGGTCCATTTAGTCGTTTCTTGTGTTTTTATCTTTATTATGCCGTGTTTAGTATTTTCTTTGTTTTTCCTCCTATTTTCTTGTTTTTCGTGTTTTTCCGGTTGTGTTGGTTTCAGGTTCAGATGATGATAGCGGTATTCAGGTCCGGCTCCTAGGAGTTATACATTGGTTTGAGTTTATAGCTCGGGCAGTACCCGAGAAATGCGAGACGAGAGCTCATGAGTTCGAAACTTGGAGATTTTGGAAGCTGCCCAGGCCATAGCGCCGCTATGGCCATAGCGGCGCTATGGCCAACCCTGAAAGCGGCACTGCATGCATAGCGAGGGGCTGAGGCTCGACTATCTTCAACCATAGCGGCGCTATGGTCATAGCGCCGCCTATGCCCCATTTTGTAACTGAAGCTATTTTCTCGGAATTTCGAATTGGGAGGCTGAAGGATCGCGTTTTCTTCACTTTTGAACATTCCCAGACCTCGTTTTTCATAGTTTCTCATCCCAAAAACATACTTTTAACTTGGTTTCATCTTGGATTTGATTTTGGAGCATAAAAACTCCTTTTCTAGCTTTGGATCTTGGATTGCTCGTTGTTTTTCTCGACATTGGTTTTTCTTATCAATCGTAAGCATCTTTTCTCATTTAATTATGATGTTTTGTGCTTGGGTTGCTATGAGTTCTTGTGTTAAAATTTCAATGAGTGGCTAAATTCATTAGCTAGGGTTAGGGGATCATCGTTCCGGTTCGATTTCATTTATGTGTTTGATTAATTTGCTCAATCTTTTCGAGTTGTGCTTAACCTAGGGTTTAGATGTTTGATCACCATCTCAATCTAATTAATCGATTTTGAAACCGAAAGGGGAGAAATCGTTCGACCTAGGCTCGTTAAGAATAGACTTGTTCGGTGACGTATTGTCTATGTGCTAATCGATTCGTGATTGATTTGTCTACGTTTATTCTCTTGTTTCGTGAGATATTGAGAATGAACCTCTAGACGAGTTAGTTTTTGAGTCCTCTAGTCGAGTAATCGATTGTTCGTGAATTGTTTTGAGAACCGGAGACGATATCCCCGATACCCTAGCCCTTTCATCATTATTCGAATTTAAACTTTAAATTGTGAATTTGAAATTGCTAGTCTTGTTCTTGTTATTCGTAGTTTATAAAATCAAATCAAACCAATCGAATTAGAGTGTTTAGGACTTGTTTCTTCTTTCGTGTGTTCAAATAGTCGTGCAATTTATTCCGGCTGACCTTCCTTGTGATACGACCCGGTGTCGAATCTTTGGGTTATACTCCGGTTAAAAATATTTACAACAAATTGGCGCTGTTGCCGGGGAAGGTTTAGGACTTATTTTGTGCGCCTATTCATTTGTTTTCAGTGTTTCTCTTATTTTCTGTGATTTCTTGTTTTTGTGTTTCTTTTACTTTGTTTTCGTTGTCTATTTTTATTGTTTTCTTTGTTTTGATCTCTTTTCGTTCTTTTTGTTGTCTATCTGGTGCCCGTGACGTTTTTGTTGTTTGTGTTTATGCGTACCAGGAGTGGTCGTGTAATAATTCCAAACGACGAATCCATCCAACCGGACTTACGAGACTTACTAGCTAGTCTTGCACCAGTATCATCCACCTCTGAGAACCAATCCGACATGGTACAGAACGATCAAGAAGAAGAAGTCAACAACCCGGATAAGTCTCTTCTTCGCGATTTGGCTCAACCAGTAATTGGGCCGGTGACTTCGTGTATACGATTGGGGACAGCAGCTTGAAACTACGAGCTCAAGACCATCCACTACAACCAGCTTCCCTCTTTCCATGGTCTTCCCAATGAGGACCCACTTCATTTCATGCGTGAGTTCTACAATGTCCTCCAAACGTTTCCACTCCACGGATTGAATGAGGACCAGCTGAAAATGAGGTGTTTTCCGGAAACACTCAAAGATCGGGCTAAGGCGTGGCTGATGACACTTGCTCCAGACTCTCTTACCACTTAGGAACAAGTGTACACGAAGTTCATCGGGAGGTATTACTCCCACCAGAAAACTCAAGAGCT